GACTTTCCAAGGTATGGGCGTAGCTGGTGCATGAGTTTTAACTGTGCAAAAGCTCCCCTGGCCACCGCCGAAACCTGGGGTTCCAGGCTCAGCAATGAGTCCAGGATCACTCCCAAGCTGTGAACCTGTATCTTCAGGGGGAATATAACCCCATTCAACACAGGTTGTAACCTTATGCCCTGTTCGGTCTTTCGACTGACCAGGAGGACCTCTGTCTTGTCTGGATTCAATTTCAATTTGCTAGCCCTCATCCAGTCTGACACAGCAGCCAAGCACCAGTTCAAGGTCTGAACAGCCTCCTTAATGACAGGTGGGAAGGAGTGACAGATGTAGATGTTAAATAACATCAGGGACAGTACTGAACCTTGAGGGACTCCACAAGACAATGGTTGTGGAGTCGAACAGGTGTCACCCAGTAACACCCTCTGAGACGGACCCTCCAGGAAAGACTGGAGCCACTGCAGAACAGTACCTCCAAGTCCCATTTCTGCGAGGTGTCCCAGAAGGATACCATGGTCGACAGTATCGAAGGCCGCTGAGAGGTCCAGCAGAACCAACAGGGACACACTCCCCCTGTCTAGCTCCCGGCGTAGATCATCTACTAAGGCGACCAAGGCTGTTTCAGTGCCATGTCCTGGCCTAAAGCCAGACTGTGCCGGATCTAGATAATCAGTGTCTAGTCTACCAAGAACCCCTGGAGTTGCGAGGCCACGACACGTTCCATGACTTTGCCCAAGTAGGGAAGATTGGAGACTGGCCGATAGTTGACTAATTGAGTGGGGTCCAGTGATGGTTTTTCCAACAGCGGTTTTTATAACAGCCTGTTTTAGGCTGGCTGGAAGTTTGCCCTCCTGTAAGGAGGCATTAACCCATTCTGCCAAACCCCCTATGGCTTCTTTTATCAGCCAGGATGGGCAGGGGTCTAGGATGCATGTGGTAGGCCTCGCTTCTCCAAGGATCTTGTCCACATCCTTGAACTGAATCAATGGAAAAGAATCCATTAAAAGCAGGTGCTCGTGTTACATCCTCAGATACTGCTGTTAACGTGGCATCGAAGTCGGAACGGATCAGTGCAACTTGGTCTCCAAACAACCGAGCAAATGCTTCACAGCGATCTGCTGAGTTGTCGGGGATCTCTCTCTGAGGTGGATTTAAAAGTCCTCTGACAACTCGGAATAGCTCAGCCGGACGGTTCTTAGTGGACACAATATTGGCTGCAAAGAATGTTTTTTGTGCAGGCTTTTATTGCCGCGTCATAGCTACTTAAAAAAGAAACTAGACATGCTTGGACTGACTCCCTACGCTTCCGCCTCCACACGCGCTCTAGCCACTTCTTCTTTTACTTCATCGCTGCCAGCTCCTCAGTGAACCAAGGAGCCGGTTTAGCTCGGTTACTCAAGAGGGGGTGTTCTGGAGAGATTGTGTCTATAGCCCTGGTCATCTCCCTATCCCAGAAAGAGACCAGAGCCTCGACAGGGTCACTTACCGAGGAGGCAGAAAAATCCCCAAGAGCCATCAGAAAACCATTTGGATCCATAAGTGTCCTGGGGTGGACCATTTTAATGAGTCCACCACCCCTGCGGAGGTAGGAAGGCGCAATAAGTCTAAACCTGATCAGGTGGTGGTCGGTCCATGGCAACGGAGCGATGGTTAGCTCCTCCACCTTGCCACCTTCTTTCCATCCCTGACAGAAAACCAGATCCTGTCAGGATCTAGTTGTGTCCAGCGTGTGTCCAGCATTGTGGGTGGGACCTGATACTAATTGGGACAGGCCCATAGTTGCCATGGCGACCGTGAAGTCCTGAGCTGCTCCTGACAGAGTGGTCTCGGCATGAACATTGAAGTCCCCCAGCACAATGAGACGTTGAGACTCCAATACCAGAGACCACTCCGGCTAGCTCAGGTAGGGAGACTGTAGTGCAGCGGGGTGGTCGGAACAGTAATAGAATCCTGGTCCCGGTCACCGACCTTCAGGCCGACACACTCAAACGTGGCAGACTGCGGGATGGGGCACCTGGTCAGGGGGATGGAATCCTTATAGACAATTGCGACTCCCCCTCCCCACCCTCCAGATCTCGCTTGATGCTGCACGGAGTAACCTGGTGGACAAAGCTGGGAGAGATTAACCCCCCCCCCCCCCAGCCTCATCCAACTAGGAGCAAAGTAACTATTGCTGGAGATGTGGTGTGTACAAAGGGACATATTTTCATTTATGGCGGGAATGCCCTCTGCTGAAGAATTTCTGTAACAGTGTATTTAAGGAAATAGGTAACATTATAGGACTAGATGCTAGGTTAGCATTACTAATGGATGCCACAAAGTTGACATTAGAAATTGAAAAGAATTAGTGATGATTTTACTCACAGTGGCGAGACATAATTGCAAGGAATTGGAAGATAGTAACCAATCTCACGCTGAAAGCATGGTATGGGGAGGTATGGAATGTAGCCTTACATGATTGATAAACTATGAATGGAAATGAAGGTGTTTAGGGGAGAAATTAAAATATCAGAATTTGATCAGCTTTTATTAAATATTCTTTATAGAGTGATAAGGGAAAACTATACAACCCTGTTGGTCAGGAATTTTGGATATGAATCCATGGGACGGTATGAGCTCCTGCTGTTAGCCCTAGGTCCTTCCAACCTAGCAGTTTGAAAACATGTAAATGTGAGTAGATCAATAGGTACTGCTTTGGCAGGAAGGTAATGGCGTTCTATGTAGTCATGCCGGCCACTACGGACAATTCAGGCTCCTTGGTTTAGAAATGGAAATGAGCACCTCCCCCAGAGCTGGAGATGAGTACCGCCTCCAGAGCTGGAAATGAATGGAGAAGCTTTTGCCTTTGTCTGGCCATCTGTTGCGGGGCTTTGATTGTAGTTTTCCTGCATGAAGGCAGAAGGGGGTTGGACTGGATGGCCCTTGGAATATCTTCCAAGGCCCTTCTACACTGCCACATAATCCAGATTATTAAAGCAGATAATCCACATTATCTGCTTTGAACTGGATTGCAATAATAATAATAACAACAATTATTATAATTTTTATTATTTCTTGCTCGCCTCTTTTCATGGCTCGAGGTGGGTTACAACATTGCTAAAACACATTCGCCTAAAAGCATTCTTAGAAAGCAAGAAAGGAAGGAAGATTTTTTTTGCACAGTAATGGAAGTAAATATGCCTAATTTCCTTGTGGCTGTATGGGATAAAGAGTGGAAATGGATTGTATGAGTACACTGCCATATAATACAGTTCAAGCAGATAATCTGGATTTTATATGTGTGGACTCAGTACTCTTTTCCAGCAAAACACCAGCCCCTTAGGGGTCCATGTAAGTGAGTGGGAATGACAATAGGATGGCATGGTTGCTGTATAACTTCTCAGTATCCTTTCTGCACTGAGGGTCTATCAGACAGAAGAAATGGAGAAGTGTGTGTGTGTGGTTAATGAATGTGGCTCCAGTGAAATGCTGCCCACCTTTGCAGTGTGTGAAGTGCCCGCTTTGTGGAGAGCCATTTTCCTTCAAAGCTTTAATCTCTATTGCTTGCTTTTCTCCCATTCCACCTTTGACATGTGAATGTATGAACTGCCTGGTTCTACTGAGATCCAATTACTGGAGATTCGGCTTGTTCTCTCCTGAGCTTTGACTTGGTATCGCATGGGAGAACCGAATGATACAGAGAGCATTTTAATGGTAGATTCTACTTTACAGGTTTTAATGAAATGTGTAATTATTTTTCTTAATTAAATGCTGTTCTCTCCACTATTTTCATCAGCATTGATCACCCTTGTGTGTTTTTCTTTTAAATAAAGACACTTATTATTTCCACCAAAATAAAAAAAATGATTATTTAAATAACATGTAAAGAATGCTGTTGAAAGACATTCTCTTTCCCAGGGCCAATCTATCCAGGAAAGCCTTCCTCCAAAAACCCGTCTCTGTCCAATCTTGAGCAAAACAGTTAGTTTACCAACTTAACAATTAATAATCAAAGTAAATGAATTAAAGATGTTGGTTTTTTAAAACATACTTAGAAAATAGCTACCTGCTTGTGTTTGATTTCATTTTTCTAAGGGGAGAGAAAAAAAGAGACAAGGGATACTTTGCTTGGAAAGGGTTTGAAGGCATTTGGCTTGTCTTCAATGTGCCGTAAATATATCGACGCGGGAAGATGTAACATACAAGCAAACCAATACAGCAGATACGTGCAGAGAGAGAAGGAGAAAGCAGGGAAGCATTGTTTCTCTTTTGTTTTCCTAACTTTTTAACATTTTTGTTTGAATTCTTCCTTCCTAGACTGGCTTCAGTTGGCATGGACTTCCTCAGCAGTATGATTGTACCTTTTGTCTGAAGCTCCTTCTACACTGCCATATAATCCAGATTATCAAAGCAGATAATCCACATTTTCTGCTTTGAACTGGATTATATGAATTCACACTTCCATATAATCCAGTTTAAAGCAGATAACGTGGATTATACATGGCAGTATAGATGGGGCCTTGGAATGCAGTGTAACCTCATTGATGATTTACAGCCGAATGCTTTTTATGTCAAAGAGGTTTATATATAGCGGAGTTATATAGGATATTTGATTTTAACTATGTCTTAATTTCTATATTGTATGTTTTGTATGTTGTAAGCCGCCTTGGGTTTGCTTGCGGAGAAAGGTGGGGTAAAAAAATCTTAAAATAACATAAATAAACAAACTATACTGCTTTGTAATGCAGTTCAAAGCAGCTAAACCACATTCGGAAACTGCGTCATGTGGCAGTATCGATGGGACCAGAGAAGACTAAAAGACCTTGCTGAATCAGGAAGAACAATTTGCTGATTTTCCCTTAACACTGAAGCTACATCGCAGTAAGGGCCTCTTGGGCTACTTGGGTGCAATACTAAAATACGGCATGCATAGAGGTCAGCAGCCCTTCACTCTGCCCTTGCCAAATGTCCTAATTTGCGATCCTGCTGAAGTTAACGCTTCTCTTTACCACTTCCCCCAGGTCTGAGGGCAGCCTCTCTAAGTTCACGCACCGGCTCTCAGTTAAGCAGAAGCAAGAGAAGAGGAGGAAAGCAGAGCATGGCTCAGCCGATCTGCCTGCCTTCCGCCCCCGGTCGCTGAGCGTCGAATGGTAAGTAAAAGATGCGCGGTGATGGGCCCAGGGCAGAAGGAAGTGCGTCTCCTCCATTGTCGCACCTGAGCGCTTCTGCTGCCATCTTGTCCCTAGTACTCCTTTCCACCAAAAATCACCAATGAAGCCATGCTACGCCTGAACCGGTGTCTGGAGGCAGTAATGGGCTGGATGAGGGTGAACAAATTGTACTGCTGGTCTCATGTAAGACGGATCCGGGAATAAGGTCACACTCCCCATGAAAACTCCGGTTTGCAGTTTAGGGGTGATTCTGGATTTCTCCTTAAACCTGGAAGCACAAGTGGTGGAGGTTCCCAGGGTTGCTTTTGCACAACTTAAACTGGTGCACCAACTGCACCTGTTCCAGGAAAACTCTGACATGGCCACAGTGGGACACACCCTGATTCCATCTCTCCTGGGCTACTGTAATGCACGCTATGTGGGGCTGCCTTTGAAAATGGTTCGGAAACTCCAGTTTGTTCAGAGATCAGCAGCTAGGCTGCTGTTGGGAGCAAACATAAGAGAACACACCACTTTGCTCCTTAAACAGCTGCACTGGCTCCCTATTAGTTTCTGGGACCAATTCAAAGTGCTGGTGTTGACCTTTAAAGCCCTTCATGGCATTGGTCCAGATTACCCAAGAGACTGAGTTCTTGTATATATGCCAGGGAGATCTCTTAGGTCCAGGGGGGTATTTTTAGTGTCATTAAGGAAGTGGTCTGCAAAAACTTAGAAAGGAATGCACTCATCCCTACTAGTCAACATGGAATTATCAAAAACAAGTCATGCCAGACTAACCTGAACTCTTTTTTTGATAGAGTTACAAGCTGGGTAGATGCAGGGAATGCCGTGGATGGAGCGTATCTGGATTTCAGGAAGGCCTTCCTTTGACAGAGTTCCCCATGACCTCCTGACAAGGAAACTAGTCAAATGTGGGCTAGGCAAAACTATGGTTAGGTTGATCTGTAATTGGTTAAGTGAATGAACCTAGAGGTTGATTCTCCACAATGCTTCCTCTTCATCTTGAAAGGAGGTGACGAGTGGAATGCCATAAGCAGAGTTCTGTCATGGGCCTGGTTCTGTTCAACATCTTTATTAATGACTTAGATGAAGGGTTAGAAGTTATGACCATCAAATTTGCAGATGGGAGGTAGAGCCAATACTCCAGAAGAGAGGAGCAAAATTAAAAATGATTTTAACAGATTAGGGAGAAGATTGGCCAAAATTCAAAGTGAAGTTCAACAGGGACAAATGCAAAATACTCCACTTAGGCAAAAAAAAAATGAAATGCAAAGAGACAGAATGGGGAACTATCGGCCAGTTTCCAATCTCCCCTTCTTGGGCAAAGTCTTGGAACATGTGGTGGCCTCACAACTCCAGGTATTCTTGGGAGACACGGATTATCTAGATCCGGCACAGTCTGGCTTTAGGCCGGGACATGGTACCGAGACAGCCTTGGTCGCCTTAGTGGATGATCTGCGCCGGGAGCTCGACAGGGGGAGTGTGTCCCTGTTGGTGCTGCTGGACCTCTCAGTGGCCTTCAATACCGTCGACCATGGAATCCTTCTGGGACGCCTCGCGGGGATGGGCCTCGGAGGTACTGCTCTGCAGTGGCTCCGGTCATTCCTAGAGGGTCGATCTCAGAAGGTGTTACTGGGAGACACCTGTTCAACCCCACAACCGTTGTCTTGTGGGGTTCCTCAGGGCTCAATACTGTCTCCCATGTTGTTCAACATCTACATGAAGCCGCTGGGTGAGATCATCCGGAGTTTCGGGGTACGGTGTCATCTGTACGCGGATGATGTTCAGCTCTATCACTCCTTTCCACCTGCTACTAAGGAGGCTGTCCAGGTCCTGAACCGGTGCTTGGCCGCTGTGACGGTCTGGATGAGGGCGAACAAATTGAAATTGAATCCAGACAAGACAGAGGTACTCCTGGTCAGTCGCAAGGCCGAACAGGGTATAGGGTTACAGCCTGTGTTGGATGGGGTCGCACTCCCCTTGAAGACACAGGTTCTCAGTCTGGGTGTGACCCTGGACTCATCGTTGAGCCTGGAACCCCAGGTTTCGGCGGTGACCAGGGGAGCATTCGCCAGCTGCGACCGTACCTTGGGAAGTCTGACTTGGCCACGGTAGTCCACGCTCTGGTTACATACCACTTAGACTACTGCAACGCTCTCTACGTGGGGTTGCCCTTGAAGACTGCTCGGAAGCTTCAAATGGTCCAACGTTCGGCAGCCAGGCTACTAACAAGAGCGGCACTCAGGGAGCACACCACTCCTCTGCTGCGCCAGCTCCACTGGCTGCCAATCTGCTACCGGGCACAATTCAAGGTGCTGGCTTTAGCCTATAAAGCCCTAAACAGTTCTGGCCCTACTTACCTCTCCGAACGCATCTCCTCCTATGAACCGACTAGGACATTAAGATCGTCTGGGGAGGCCCTGCTCTCGGTCCCGCCCGCATCACAGGCGCGGTTGGCGGGGACGAGAGACAGGGCCTTCTCGGTGGTGGCCCCTCAGCTGTGGAATGCCCTACCTGTGGACATCAGACAGGCCCCTTCACTGCTGGCATGTCGGAGGAAGGTCAAGACTTGGCTTTACGAACAAGCGTTTGGCTAAATAGTGCTATGAAACACAGTAAGATGGTACAACTGAACATAGGAACTGGTATAAAGGATTCTGATTGCGGATTCTGATTCTGATTTGTTTGCTGAGGCGCACGTCTATGATAATGTTTGTTTTTTGACTTGATATGTTTTGCATAATGTGTTTTTAACTGCCTTTTTGATGTTGTTGTGTTAACCCTTTACTATGTAAACCGCCTTGAGTCGCCATTTCGGCTGAGAAAGGCGGTATAGAAGTAAAGCAAATAAATAAATAAATAAATTGACAGCAGTACATGGGGAAAAGATCTTGGAGTTCTCTTGCGGAACAAGTTAAACATAAGCCAACAATGTTATGTAAAGCCAATGGGATTTTGGCCTGCATAAATAGGAGTCTAGTGCCTAGATCCAGGGAAGACATGCTACCCCTCTATTCTGCCTTGGTCAGACCACACCTGGAATCACACTGTGTCCATTTCTGGGCACCACAATTGTAGGGAGATGTTGACTCTAAGCTGGAATGTGTCCAGAGGAGGGCAACTAAAATGATCAAGGGTCTGGAGGACAAGCCCTAAGTGGAGCGGCTGAAAGAGCTGGGCATGTGTAGCTTGCAAAAGAGAAAGCTGAGAGGAGACATGGTAGCCATGTGTAAATATGTGAGGGGAAGTCATAGAGAGGAGGGAGGAGGCTTGTTTTTTGCTGCTCTGGAGACTAGGGTACAGAACAATGGCTTCAAATTACAGGAGAGGAGATTCCACATGAACATTAGGAAGAATTTCCTAACTGTGAGAGAGAGCGGTTCAGCAGTGTGATGGAAGCTCCTTCTTTGGAGGCTTTTAAACAGAGGTTGGATGGCCATCTGTCAGGGGTGCTTAGAATGATATTTTCCTGCTTCTGGGTAGGGGGTTGGACTGGATGGCCCACAAGTTCTTTTACAACACTGTGATTCTATGATTCTATGGTTTACTTAGCCAGTGCAGCTAAAAACATTTGTGTGCTCTGAAAAATGAGGGAAAGTTTTATTTCCTCTCTCCCTCCAAAGTTTAGCAATAACTATATACTAAGCCCTTCGAATTCCTCTTGTAAAAAATAAAATAAAATTGGGGAAAGTGGCGAAGAGAGACATGAAGTATTGAGAAAACACTTGTTTCATTCATGTGATATTTACTAAAATAAGTACTTCATTATTACACTTTTTCTTCGGGGTGTTTTTCCCCCGCAAAGCTGGTGCCACAAAGTCCCCACTGTTACAGCTGTATGAAAGTGCTGTACCATCTCGGGCCATGGGTCCCTCCAGCCGTCTTGGATCTTGCCTTTGGCAAGGACCTGTCGGTACATTTCCAGAGGCCAAGTAGCCAAGTATTCAAGCTGGTTGCTGGAGTGGGGAGGGAGGGTGTTCAAAGAAAGTGGGCATGCGGGGTGAAAGAAGCATCCGGGCAACGCATGTCTCCCCATTTGCGAGGAGAACTCTTCCTCCTGACCTGGTGCTCCTCACCGCTAACCAGATTTAAGGATTGCTTATACAGGTTGTACCACCCAACTTACAAACGCCTTCTAGTTATGAACAGGGCTGAGACAACAGGAAGTGAGAGGAATCTCCACCTCGGAAGAAAGAGAAATCCACTCCTGGAAGAGTCATTATTATGAGGGGGAAAGGGGTTCTCCACTGGAGCTTTAACACCAATCCTTGTTTTCACAACAAGCCACATTTTGCAAAATCCAATGATCACAGGGTTAGAAAGTGAATTGGAATTTGCTGAAGAAGGAAAACAGACAGCAAAGGGAATGTCACAGGAGTGTTAACCCCAAAACTATATTTGGCTGGAGTTACTTTTCAAAAATGCCCCTATTCCGACTTTCATACCAATTCCACTTAAGAACAAACCTACAGAACCCATTTTGTTCATAACTTGGGGACTTGCCTATATCTTGCTTTTAGAAAAAGAAAATTCTGGGCAAGGCTGGAAAAGTACAGAATTGGGATTTTATGATCACAATTAAGTCTTCAGCAGAGCAAAAACTGAAAGTTCTTTGAGAATTGTTTTAACTTCGGAAAGAGTTCTTCTTCTGACATTTGTTTCCTGGGTTTGGGATATCACTGCAAATAATGTGAGCATCAAGCTTTCAGTTATGGCTGCAAATAGACTGTTTATTGTATTGTCGAAGGCTTTCATGGCCGGAATCACTGGGTTGTTGTAGGTTTTTTCGGGCTATATGGCCATGTTCTAGAGGCATTCTCTCCTGACATTTCGCCTGCATCTATGGCAAGCATCCTCAAAGGTAGTGAGGTCTGTTGGAACTTCTGCAGGAGTCTACCGTATACCATGCAGCTGTGGACAAGTCTACATAGGGACCACCAAACGCAGCATTGCCCAAACACCAATCAAGGAACATGAAA